TTTGGAGAATTAGGGAGACTCAGAAGTCTGTAGTGTCATTAACATGATCAAACCTTGTGTTAACACACATGGCAGGAGGTGGTATGGCCTCTTTTGGAAGCAGCATAATGTCAGACTCTGACAGCATAATGTCCTGCATTCATTATTGTAATGTTTTACTTATTGGAATGCCAATAACTTTGATTGTAACTAGAATTTCACTGGGGATTGCCCTGCACCTGGGCTCTAGTTGTCCTACGTACCAGTTAAGGTTGTACTGGTTGGTTGTTTTTTTTGGGGGGGGGGAGGGTTAGAGCAGATTTAAATGGAAATCAAAAATACTTACAAAGTAAGGGGCTAACCTGTCCTCTTACATGATTTGCTTTTCACATAGGGTGTGTCTAGATTACATGGCTCTGTCGACGGAGCCATGTAGATTAGGTTTCTAGACATAGAAAAATGAAGCAGCAATTTAAATAATCGCCACTTCATTTACATCAAAAACCTTATTCCATGAGGCATAACGGTGCGGTCAACAAGGGCTTCCCTTGTCGACCGTGGAGCGTCCAGACTACCGTGCTGTGCCACCAAACAGCTGATCGGCACAACGCGGCAGCCATTTTGATGTAAATGAAACGGTGATTATTTAAATTGCCGCTTCATTTTCCTGTCTAGTAAACTAATCTACATGGCTCTGTCGATGGAGCCATGTAATCTAGACATACCTTTAGTGACTCCATCCCTAGTAATAGTCTTAACTCAGTAGAGGACTCTCCTGGAATCTTCAGACCAAAAATGTCATTTCAGGTGGTATTTTGGTTCTTCCATTTCCCATGACCAAATATTTTTTCCAAAATAACATAAATAGAAAGGTTAAGCCTCAATTGGCTAAGCTACTAGAAGTGCTTTTCAATATGTATTTGTATAGTCTTTGTTGGACTTCTGGGAGCTTTCAGGAAGTATGTAGATGTTCTTGCAAATTCCTTAGAAATTACACTGAATCCTAAAGTAGCAACTGTATTACACCATGAGACAGTTTCCCAAAGCAAGTGGTAGAAGTCCCCATCACTTGAGCCATTCAGAGATGCACTGAAGGGAACAAAACTGTGCTGCTAAGTCAAAAGCAAGAGAAGCAGAGCTCACAGTAGTGAGTAATCTGAGTCATGCACTTATAACACTGAGTGAGGGAAAGGATGGTGGTATTGTCAATAATGATTTAAGAACAGAAAAGAGAGTTTGGAAAGCTCTTTGATTAGTTTAATTTTGGACATATTGAGCTTGAGGTGCAAGAACTGCCTGAGGATGGAGACAAAGGAGAGACAAGTAGAAAGGTATGAGTAGGTGATGGTGTAGAAATAGTCACACTGTAGATGAGAGCTGAATCCATGGTGCATATGAGCACACCAGGGAGAAGGTGCACAGGGAGGGAGACAATCAGAAATGCTGAAATAGCTGCAAGTAGGTGGAAACCAGGAAAGCCTAGGACCAAATATACCTGCACTCTGGTTTGGAAGACAAATATATCCATATATAATTGCTCTAGGAAGATGAATTTGGGAAAATGAACTTATTTCATCTCCATAGAAACACAGAGTCAAGTCCTGCTCCTTTACACTGGCATGAAACAAGAATAACTCCATTGACTCTAAGGTATTGGTCTGCTTTTGCAGCTGTGTAAATGGGAGCTGAATTTGTTCTCAGGCATTCAGTGTTCTGATGGGCATTTCACATCTCTGATTCAGTGTAAGTGTTGATGAGCTAGTGCACATGAACTATGGGTATAGACATCTCTTTAAATAAAAGCTACAAATGTAATTTATATAACAACTGTACAATTTAATCTGTTTTAAAATCTCAACAGCCAGAAAATCTGCTAATTGATTTAAGGATCCCAGTGCCTCGTGTCAAGCTTATAGACTTAGAAGATGCAGTCCAGATCACGGGACATTATTATGTTCATCAGCTGCTTGGAAACCCTGAATTTGCAGCTCCTGAAGTTATCCAAGGTGCCCCTGTCTCACTGGGCACAGACATCTGGAGCATTGGGGTCCTTACCTATGTCATGTTAAGTGGTGTCTCTCCGTTCCTCGATGAAAGCAAAGAGGAGACCTGTATAAATGTGTGCCGAGTGGATTTCAGCTTCCCTCATGAGTATTTCTGTGATGTGAGTCATGCAGCCAGAGACTTCATCAATGTTATACTTCAAGAAGACTTCAGGAGGAGGCCGACAGCAGCCACTTGTTTACAGCATCCTTGGCTGCAGCCTCACAATGGCAGCTATTCCAAAATCCCGCTGGATACCTCCCGTCTGGCTTGCTTCATTGAGCGCCGCAGACACCAGTATGATGTGCACCCAGTTCCCAACGTCAAGAGCTTCATAATGAACAGGATGAACCCGGGAACATGATGCCACATAACCATGTGACATGATACTGCTGGGCCGGAGGCCAGGCAAACAGTATGAACAGACACAAGGTGGAATCTGACTGTATATAATTCAGTATTAAGTATTACATCCATTTCATATGGTTTCCCAAACTGAGGGATGTAACTCATGCTAGTGGTTGTGGCATCTGTCCAGTTACTCAGAACCAAAGTTATGTAAGTGCTGATCAGTGGGTGTGCATACCCTCTTGACAAGGCTGTTCTTGGAAAGCAAGGAATCTCCTGGTTAGAGTGATGTTCGTATTACAAAGATGGTGTTCAACATGGGAACCAAAATACTGATGCCTTAGTTTTTTGAAAGGCAGCCTTATAAGAGAGCCTCACGGTCGAACCAGCCTCATTTGGAAGAGAATAGCGATTTGGAAGAGGAAAATTAGGTTGACCCAAGGCTGTCAGCATTTACTGCCAAACTGTGTTGGATTCAGGTTTTGCTGAAATCATTGCTAGCCAAGTGCCAGATATAGGTAGGACTTTGCAAGCCCGTAAGACACATGATTCCTGTTGACATCAGTGGGGACTATGGAGGGCATGCAGGATCAAGTCCTATTCACAGTAATACTAGCTTTTGTGGTTAACGGACTGAAATAGAATGTGCTTTCAGAAATGCTCTCATTACATGGTATTGCTCAAGCATACCTCTTCAGATAAGAATACCAGTGGGATTCCAGAGCCTTTTTTACTGTATCAAATCAACATACAGTAACTTTCAGAGCTATGGTTAAGGGGGTAAAATCACTGTGGCAGAAAGCTGTTTTGACTAAGCACAATGAAACCTTGATGGCTTTTTAAAATGTTTTATAAACATTGTACAGAAATCTTTTCCAAAACCTGTGCACTGAGAAAAGACTGTCTGATTTTTTCAGTACCTGTAAATTAGATGATTTTTTTCTATCAGGTTGTTCAATTTACATATGTGTGTGTATATAGAAAAAGGATCCTGTTCCATTTCAAGCTCTGAAGTTGCTCGGTCCAAAGTTCATCAAAAGCTGGTCAAAGTGCAGTGAGAGTAGTGGGTTTATCTTTGTGCTTATAGCTTCAGATGGTTTTCAGTATTTAAAATTGGATGCTCCACTTCTCAGTTCTTAAACTTTTCTCCAGGCACTTTAAGGCCTCCATTACCAAGGCATCCAAGAGGCTATTTTTATGTCTTAGGCCAAGTTTGAAATAACAAAATATTCACAATTAAAATATTTCTCTTATAAACCAAGATGTAACATTGCCATATGGCTGTTATGGTAGCAGGCCTAGCCTTAAATATAAGGACTATAGGAAGTCTCATGAAGGCCTAGCAATTCATGGGCTGGCCAGATCTTCTCCTATTTAGCCACAGGAGTAGCCCTGCATAGGGGTGGATCTGACAATCAGCAATGGAGTATATTCTTTCCAGACACATGGGTAAGTTCTGAAGTGCTAAGAGCTATCTAGGTACCTGGTATAGATCTACTACCAAATCTGGAGTTGGGATTTCTGAATGCAAAAAGTTTGATCCAATAACCTGTGCTATCTACACTATCTTGAGTAATTACTCAAGGGCAGCCCTGCATAGGGGTGGATCTGACAATCAGCAATGGAGTATATTCTTTCCAGACACATGGGTAAGTTCTGAAGTGCTAAGAGCTATCTAGGTACCTGGTATAGATCTACTACCAAATCTGGAGTTGGGATTTCTGAATGCAAAAAGTTTGATCCAATAACCTGTGCTATCTACACTATCTTGAGTAATTACTCAAGGGCAGCAGTAGTAAAATCAAACACCCAATCCTAGTGGCTGGATTGTATCCTGGGAAAGGTAGAGGGTAGAGAGGAATTCTCTCCATTGCCAGCTGATGCAGTCTCACACACACAACTGTAGCCTCAGGGCTTCCTTCTTTGATCTTCAAAGCCCAAATTCATAGCATGCAGGTTCCCTGGAGCTTTCTGTGGGGTCCCAGCAATATGCTTGCCCTGCACAATGAAATCACACTGGCTGAAGTGACGATGGGACATTCTTTGCTTGTCGGGCAGGCTTGCTAGTGGACACAGAAGTCAGCAAGAGCACACTAAGAAACTGAAGACTACGTAATTAGAGATAGGAATGGGTTCTGGGGATCTGGGACTCCTGGTCAGAGAACAGAGAGAGTGCAAGTGGGGAGGGCAGAGAGAACATAACAGATTATATCAGAGAGCAGAGGTGAGGCAGGAGTCCACCCAGAAGGCTTAGAAGGGAGAAGGCTTGTCAGCGACACTGGATACTATGGATGACCTAGAACCCATTTCAGTCAGCGACACTGGATACTATGGATGACCCAGATCCCATTTCATTTCAGTTTCTCTCTTCAATGCTGCAGCTACTTCCTAAGCAAATCAGTGATACCTCTCACAAATCAGCAAATAGAAAAAAATATCACCTCAGTAAGACTGCAATGTGGATTTAGCCACAAAAGTTCTTTCAGACTACAGCCACTGAAGGGTTTCCTACATTAGCGCAGTACTCAGGTACTTTCTCTGCAAGACTGTTTACTTCCCTTCTTCCTAATTTTAAAAGTTGGCTCTTGGGCACATTTCACTTACCTGATTTGACTGTGCTGCCCTCTATTATTTATTAATTATTATTATTATGGAAGTGTGGTTAAAAATTCTGATACCTTTTCTAAAATGTGTGTAATTTTTAAGCCACAAACTTTTTCCTTGTCATTGGTACAAAAATGCCTCTCAAGGTTCCTCACCAAAGGCTCTTATGCTAAGAAAGCAGTCTTAGGACAAGAGAGAAGGTCCTCTCATGGATCAGTAACTGGTTAAAGTATAGGAAAAATGGGCAGTTTTCACAGTGGAGAGAGGTAAGTAGCAGGATCCCCTAAAGATCTACACTGGAACAATTGCTGTTCAAAATATTCTTAAATAATCTGGAAATGGAGTAAACAATGTGGTGGCATTATACAAAATTATGGATTATACAAAAATTACTCAAGATAGTATATGATAGAGGTCTATTAAAATAATGGATTATGTGCGAGAATAAGGAAGTTATTTATCCCTTCACATAATGCATGAACCAGGTATCAGCAAATGAAATTCATAGGCAACAAGTTTAAAATGAACAAAAAGGAAGAACTTCTTAGCACAATGCACAGTCAATCTGGGGAACTGGTTGCCACGGGATGTTGTGAAGGCCAAAAATCTAACTGGAATAAAAAAAACTTTATAAATTCATAATGACCATCTTGGCAAATGAGACACAACTCCCTGGTCTAGGTGTCCCTAAACTTCTTGATAGAAGCTAGGAGGGAATGGTAGGGGGGTGGATCTCTTGATACAACTGCCCTGTTCTTGTTCACTGCCTAAAGCATCCAGTATCTGCCACGGTCAGAAGTCTGGACATTGGGCCAGGTAAATCCATTAGTCTGATCCAACGTGGGCATTCTTATGTAAAATAACAATTTTCACATCCCAATCCCACTCTGTCCCCTCTATCTTGTTCCCTCTCTTTTTTCTCAAATAACTGATCCTTTTGGCTGGAATGTTATTCTGAAGTGCTAAGCAACAAGGTGAGAGAGCTCTTTTATTGGATCAACTTCTATTGATGAAAGAGACAAGTTTACAAAGAGCTCTTTTCAGTCTGGGAAAGGTCTGTTTTGATGTGCTGGCAGTTAAAACAAACTTCACTTCCCAAGTAAGTAAATTTTGGGACCAAATTCTGACCTTAGTTTCCTGTGGCATCAGAAGGTTTAACTGGTAACTGAGAGCAGAATTTAGGCTTTGATATGCAAACTACAAAAGAGGCTAAATATAGAACCTCATAATGCTATCTATATGGATGCTTTGGGACTATAACCGTACTTTAATGCCTTTCAAAATAGAAAGCAAGCTATCTAAGAGCTAATGAAATCTTCGGAGACCAGTTTTGTGACTGATGCATACCACAGAGGTCTGACAATCACAAGGTTGGTTCTGGATCCAGTCCATTCCCTATAGAGACAGATTCTTCTTTCGCACAGGACTCAGATTTATTATCCAGGATTTTTTTTTTGTTCCATCAGAAGATGGGGCTTTCCTGAGGGGAACAAAATACAATCCTATTTTATAAGGCTGATTGCACACTGCCATCGAGTGATGAATTCCTATTCTGGAAGCTGTATATTGGTGAATGTTACCATAATGTCAGGATTCTGACTTTGCTGTAATTGTGGTCTTTTAATATGAAGCTAGTGAAAACAAACATCTGTAGTCACTTAAGCCATATTTCACCTCCATGTCCAACTTTCGATGCTGGTGCTTTTACTTCTCTTTCTACCAAACTGTTCAAAACTGTTCTGCCAGTGAAATCAATCAAACCAGTTATGCCTTTTACTGGTACCATAAGGAAGGCAAATGCACAGGCTGTTTAAAAGTAAAAATCCACCACCAAAAGAAGGAAATTTCACAGCATGCTTAGAATGTACTGTTTTAATGTTTTTCAACAGAAAGAGGAGCAAAAAGAGATTGCTAGGAGCTCAGCATTTTCAAGGTGCAAACTAATTCCACAGCCTTAATTTCAGTGTCCTGCTGGTCTGCCTTAAGTGTATCTTCTGTTTTATTGCAAATGTGCATATACAAAATGAAAATGTGGTTTTGTAAAGGCAAGTTTGTAAATATTTTATTTGAACATCCAATCACTTGTATGACATTGTAAAGTGATGAGCTGCTGTCACTTGTTAATATTACTATGCTACAATATGTTATCTACAGAAGCTTCAAACTGTACATCTTATTTCATTGTGTTCCTATAAATACAGTATATTAAAGATGCCATTTCTGGGTTTTTTGATTAAAGACAGTTGTTCAGAGAAAGAGTCAGTCTTCTTTCACAAACTCTGGATTTTCTAAGACTTTTAAGACACTAAAGCAGACCAGCTACTTGATTGACTCAATACTTACTGTTTTGACTGGAGGTTCAGACGGAATTCAAATATTGAAGACAGCACTCTTAACATATGCTAGATCAAACCTAAAGCTGGTGGTCACTCTGGAAAAAATCTCCTAAAAAGCTCAGCTTCGATTAACCTACCATGGAACTACTCCCTAGTCATATTTCATAAAAATTAAAAAAAATCAAAACGTGTCTCATTGAAATGACATGCTGTGATGTCACTGCAGCTGCATCCGTTAGATGCTACCGTGTGATCTCATTAGACTACAAAACTGCCTTTTTTCAGCAAATAAACTGTTCTAACAGGCTGCGTCTAGACTGGTATGATTTTGCAGAAATACTTTTAACTGAAGTTTTCTAGATTGACACAGATGCGCAAATGCATCCGTGGCCAGTCTAGATGCCATTTTGCGCAAGAAAGCCCCGATCACCATTTTACCCATCAGGGCTTTTTTGAGCAAAACAGTTCTTCCCTGTCTATACTGGCCCTCTTGTGGAAGTATTCTTGCACAAAAGGGCTTTTTCCTGAGCGGGCATGTGAAAGTATTTGCGCAAGAAACACTGATTTTGTACATTACAAAGCCAGTGCTCTTGTGCAAATTCAAGCGGCCAGTGTAGACAGCTGGCAAGTTTTTGCGCAAAAACTTGCCAGTCTAGATGCACCCACAGCGTTTTACCCAGCTCCTGCCCCAGTGCCTGCAAAATAGGGGCTGCCGGTTGGTTGGTGGGTTACATGCAGTGAGTGGATCACGGAGCTGCACTGCTCTCCCCTTCCAGCAGGGCTCAGCACAGCTGGGAAAGCCCCAGGCGCTCCCTGCAGCCACAGGAGCTATCACTGCCCAGCCACAGTGCTCCTGCCAGCCGGGGGGGCACTCCCCATAGCAGCCGATGGGTGGGCGGAGGCGGGGGGGGGGGGGGTTTAAAAGCCCCC